ATCGTCAGCAAGTCAGCGGCACCCGCTGACTCGCTGAGCCGTTTTTTTTGACATCGTCAGCAAGTCAGCGACACCCGCTGACTCGCTGAGCCGTGATTTGGACATCGTCAGCAAGTCAGCGGGCGCCGCTGACTCGCTGAGCTGTTCAATCAAACCCTCAAAAGGTGAGCAAAAGAAGCTAAGGTCCAGACCAAAGTTCTCAGAAACTGCGTGTCTCAGTGACAGAAACTTCAGCTCAGGGCACACTAATTTCAAGACAGTGTCAGCCCAGGACTGTGTGAAGGGCTGGTGCAACACCATCACAACTGAGTTCCTCACTTTGAAGGGAGAAAGTCGAGGCCAAGAACACCTGGTTTCATTGGTATGGGAACTGGGAAGGTTTGAAAGAAAACCTTAGTAGGCTCCGCAGCGTCTGAATCATTAGCCTTTTTGCTGGCCCTCGCATTGCATGACTGGTTCTGTCATGACTACCCAAGCTTTCCATAGCCCCTGCATGGAAAAGGCAACCGTCCCAATCTAAGAAGAGGCCCGGCACCAGCGTTTCACTCGTGCCAGGATTTTCCATTTCAGAAAAGTTTTTGAATCAAAAGCAACTTTGAACCTTTTGGTTTTCAGCTCTGCAGTTGGGACCAGAGCCACAAAGTTGGACTTCACTTTGGCCTTTGCCATCCGGTCTCTCCATGTAGTTTCATCATCCTTGATGTCAATGACACGGACTGAGCTCAGGATGAGTCAATGCGCTGGACTAAGTTTAGTAGACAATGACTGACTGTTTAATCGTGCTGTGCAATCTGCAAATAAACCCGCCAAGAAGCAAACAACTTCCAACCGCCTTGCATAGAGAATCGCAGTATCTGATCCAGCTGGGGGTGAAGCTTTGCAAACTCTGGAGCCACCAAAAGATTCCTCACTGTCGCGATCCTTCCAGCTGGCAAGTACCTGAGAGGGTGGAAAGAAAGGCAGTGACAGGACAACACCTTAAACGTTTGAATGTTCTCCACCAGGACTCCACTCTCCAAGCTGCTCGATCCACGGCCCCTTGGACAAACGCTTGGTGACAATCAAGTGCCCGTTGAGCTTGGATGTCCAAGTCACCCGCTGCCCTGGCTCATCAAAGGAATCCACCACATGGCAGGTGGCTTCCTGCCACGTTTCCACCAGGACAGCTCCGAGAAGGGCAACCTTTTGTTGCACGCCCTCCGCCTGGGTCCACACGAAGGTTGGCCTCCAACGGCAACGGAACCAGTTCAAACTCAATGGGAAATTGCGTTGATGACATTAGCCATTGAATGTCAAGCCTGGATTTCAAACAAGGAAACTTACGACTTGAGAATTCAGCTTCCAGTTGGCTGTCTTTTTTGGCCTGGGCTGATCTGTCTTTTTTGTCAGTGACACAAATTCTTAAGTCAGAAGCTGCAGCAAAGGAAAGTCCTGTCACAGACAAGTTAATCTGAGTCTTTGCTACAAGGTCTTGCTTTTTTTGCTTCCTTAGCAAGACATTAGCAACAGCAGGACTGGGGGTGAAATTCATGGTAACGTTTCAGGCTCAGCCCACGGCTTCAAGAGCTGCTGGTATTCATCCTCAGGCAGTTTTTCATCCTTCTGCAAAATGCCAATGGACTGGGCTTCGAAGCGACGCTTCTTCACCTGTTGCAACTGAAACTCAAAGACTGAATGAAACTCAAGGATAGTAGTGACAGCAACTAATACATAATTTGTGAAACCTCAATTCAAACAGGTGACTACGTTTCCCATTCTTTGGATGGCTTTCTTGGCTTCAGCAGGCAAATCACCAGGTTGCACTTCCGGTGAACTTGTGGGGACAATTTTGTTCACCTCCAAGCGCCGCCGTTTGACCCATGCGGCCTGACTGTCAAGAGGGTTTGCAGCCTTGGTTCGTCAAACAGGTCTACCCGCATTTGATGACAATGACTGACTGGCTGACTGACTACTCCCCATGGTTTGAAATCAGATTGTTGACCCTGCGGAGAAGCTTGTCTCTTCATTTGGAGCTTGACGCCGGAAACAAAGTTTCCACCACGCGAAGGGCCAGCCAAGCGAGGTGCCAGGTATCCTTCATTCCATATGTTTTGGGCCCTTCTGACAACTTCAGGAGCTTTGCTTGCTTCTGTCCTCAGGAAGCTAGTCACTCTTATGTGCCATTCTTTGAGGAGAGGACTGGCCAACACCTTGCGAAATGTCTGGATCAGATTGCCAAAGTCCCTCTCACAGGATGAGGTCGAAGACTTGGACAAGCATAGAGCGCGGGCCAGACATGTCAGAAGGTGAGGGTTGTCCGAAGCCTGTTGGCCACGCAGGGTACTCAACCATGCCTTGAGGTCAGGGATGTCATCCTCGTCAGCAATCCGATCTCCTCCAACGTTGTCAATGGCTGAACAAACACATTTGAGGAGTCATTGACCACTCACACTGTCAAATCACCAAGTCAGTTTAATCCCAGGCGCTTTTCTTAGAAGCAGTATATGCACAGTCAGTGTAGCTGCGGACCAGACATGGCAACGTTTGGGGCTCACCGAAGATCGTGCAGATCTTGGAAAGATCCTTCTTCACCACAGTGGCTTCCAACTTTGGCCGGAGTTGAAACACGCTGAACGCCCTGATTGCCTCGAAGGAAGGCCACTCGGTGTTCAAGGCCTCCCTAGCCAAAACCACCCATTGAGACATGCGCTCATAGCAGTCAGCCAAGAGCTGTGGTGTAACCACGTCAGCGCCTCCAATAGACCGGAAGGTTTGCCCAATCCTGATGACTGTCTCCTTCTGGAGCCACTCCACAGCCTGAGCCATTTGATGACATTTGATGGTTTGCCACTCCACGGAAAGGCATGACAGAAAAACGCACATCATTGATGATGAACTGAGTCCAGTCAAAGTCAGTGTTTAGCTGGGGAGCATGTTGTGTGTAGGAATGAACCTGATGGGCCCTTCTTTGAAGAAACAATGCAGAGACCCTGTTCATGAAGCCATCCAGTTGAGCACGCAGTTGGGCCACATCCACCGTGTTCTTGTCATTGAACCTGATCCTCGAGGCAAAAGTGATTTCTACACTCACTTGATACACAAATTGACACGCAAAATGCAGTGACAGAGAAACAGCATGGTTTGTCTATCGAGACTCAAGTCAAGTTCTTCCTGAGCCGCATCACACATCATTGCGCATTGAAGCACCGACTCAGCTGTTAGGTTCTCTAGAAACGCTGTCACATTGGCCTTAACCTTCGGTTGAGTTCGGCGCTCCAGAATCCTGGGGTGGTCAATGACCAAAGCAAAAACAACGAGGACTCATTACCAAAGTCATTGACTTCTCGACTGTCATTGACATTGTGTGCAGTCACTTCAACTGTCAAAGGCCAGGCACTCCATTGCACTGTGCACAATGGCTGATGTATGGAGAACAAATCTCGCTGCTGGTTTGAGGACACTGCTGTGTCGATGCTTGGCATACGAAAGATTCCTGGTTCTCCAATGCTTGTTTGATTCTTCCTTCACCTGGCACGCAATCATGGACAATAAATTAAACTATTTCCTGAACAGGTCACTGACAAAAACAGTGTTTGAAGAATGCAACCCAATCCAGAAGCGACACAGCTACAGTCATTGACCCCGACAAGCATGTCCAAGCCCAGCAGCATATTTGCGAAAAATCCTTGCATTTTGAGGAGAATGATAGATCACTGAAATGATGGACTTGGAACTCCAGATCAGCCGGTGCCATGTCTGCTTCAGCATGGGTACACTGTTCCATTTCTGCGTCAACCTCAATCAAGAACAACACGTGAGCTTTGAACGGTCAGGGGTCAATGATTTGCACAGGAAACCACACATCTGGTTGAACCAAATTACCTGCCAGCAGCGTGCGCTGGGTCACGAATTGGCACCCTGAGGTTCTTGAATAGGTTTTTCTTGGTAAGACGTCCAGCTTTGATTTCATCCGGAGCTGCATCGGACCCAAAGAATTCCTTGGAGTCAAGAACAGTTAAAGTTAGTTACGATCCAGTTCAAAAGTTCTAGGGAACACAGCTTGCCACGACACCTTTGTTCACAGGTCCAAGTTTCAACAGCAGTGCTAAACTTTTTCATCAAAGCACGATCCAAGAAGGGCCCCCGGCCACACCATCCACGCACAGGGCTCAGCCTTGAGGTAAAGAAGCGTCTCAAAGCCTTCATCGAAGCTTTGGACAAGTTGTGGGATCCAGACAGTTCCCTTTTCAGGAAAGCCAGAACACTGGAAGTTGCCAAGATCCCACCTTCCTGTCCTTGGAAATCAAAAAGGGAAAGCCCTTGGCAAGGAATTGAATTGATGATTATTATTGATTGGTCGTTGTGGGGTCACTGTCCTGATACAAAGAAACGCGAACACAATCAAGCTGGTTAAACATTGAACCAAAGACAAGGCAGTTCAAACAGAGCCCAAGTTTCCATCATCATGACTGACAAGGCACATCCGGATTCCTACTGTGGCTCCTTGGCCATCTTGAGAGATGGACGCAGTGATCAGCTTCTTGACACGTTTTTTCAACAAGTCTTTCACTGCCTCATTGAGACAAAACAACATTTTGGTCGCCTTGAAGGAACCAAAAGAAGATTTCCTTAGCGACGTTCCTTGCATCCGTTCACTAAGCATCTTGTCGAAGTCGCTGGCCGAAGGACACATTTGACCTTTCGCCAAGTGCACCTTGCATTTTTCATGTTGGGCCAGCTGTGACTTCTTTGGAACTTTGCAAGAGAAGTCACTGCAAGTGGCACACTTGGCAACCTTGTAGCTCCCTCGCAGCCAGAGGAACTGTCGGCACCAACGCTTCCATGTCTTTTTGGCGTCGGGTTGCATCTGATCAGAGGGCACTACAAAAATAATACTCAACTGACATGGCTTGGGTTCCCAGTGACACAACTCATTGTCATTGACTTGTCATTGTCAAGAGACGGAAAAGCATCTTGACCATCCTTGATCAGAAACATGGAAAAAGGCCATAGTAGCTTCAGTGTGCAATCAGGTTGAGGACAACTGCAACTTCAGGTGCAGGTGTGTTGCCAAAACATGCCGGGCGCACAGGTACCCACCGCTCGCGATGGGAATCAGGAAAATGATGCCAAGGGGGATCTAGTTAGTGGTCATTGACACTCATTGTTATTGCCATTGTCAATGTCTAGTCTATAGCTTGAAATAGAGTCAGGGATTTTTGTAGGGTCTTAACTTTATCTGGTCTTATCAGGTGGTGATCCATGACATGGCTCTGAAGCAAACGAAACCCAGTCACTGACTCACAGATTCTGGTGGTGACACTTGTCATTGACAGCTCTCAAACTCATCCACATCAATGCGAGGAATAGCTTAGACAGCAGTTTCACCTTTAAACTATCAGTCGAGCTCTATGACAATGAAATGACAATGAATGTTTCCAGCTTTAGCAAGCCCCTAGGATCTAAGATCGAAAGAATAGATTGTTTTCCACTGTTTTCCATGACGTCCCACGCCCATCTGCAGTTGCCCGAGCTACCGGTTCTCAGAAGGTGGTGGAGTAGTCCAAGGTGGGTACCTGGCATCAAAATGACATTGACTTGCAAACATATATCCAGTGTCAGTGACAAAGTGCAAAGTCACTCACATGCACTGTAATGGTTTTGTATTTGGGCCCCAAGCTGTTTAGTTGTATATAATGTGACAGTGACTGAGGTCATGCAGCTTCTATGTGAATTTTCCATATCTATTTCCACAAACATTGACGAGATAAGTGGTGTCATTGACAAGTAGATTGAAGTCTGCCCTGGCGAAACCGTCAAGAGTATGCACCTAGGCGGCAGTCAAAAAGGCAAACACTGATGTACACTCTGAGTCAATGACAAGTTTACAACAATGTAAATAGAGTCACTGACAGATAACTTTTCAATTGAATAATGCAAGGACCATCCTGGTTCATCACAGGTTGTTTTTGTCAACTCCGTTTAGCCAAAGATTTTCTTTCAAGCCACGCACAGTAAACAAATGCTGAAACCAAGGGACACTTCAAGACATGAACTAAACAAAACACATCAGTTTTCCAAGGGCCATACAGGATCAAGAAGATGAACCTCAGGCGGCGGTTTGCTCAAAATGAATGGCCAAGACTGACAGATGTCACACACAACTGCAGTCTGTGCTGGAAAACCATGTGCGACAGTGAAAGTGTCACCGGTCAAACCTCCTCAATATCGACTGGGTCAATGACACTCTCATTAAGACACTAGAGACAGTGAAAGTTGCAAGTCGCCGCCGCGGACGATTATTTTTCTCGGACGATCAGTGAAGGTCTCTGGTCGGCAAGTTCAGCTCTCTGTTCTTCCTGGGCCGGGGAAGGGGGAAGGATGTCAACCAACAGTCACTTCACAGAACCTTCAAAGGATTAATGCTATGCGTGGCACTGCTCATATGTCATTGTGTTTGTGCTCCTTGCTCATTCTGAGTGTTGCACTCTTCAACTTTGCGCCGGAAGGTTCCAATCACCCACCCAGAGTAGTTGCGAATGCCTACGTTTGAAGTCATGCATCGAATGACAAT